CTGAACATATCTGATATGAGATTTCCAGGAGAATCTATCATCAACTATGACACCTAGAAATTTAATTTCATATACTCGTTCTATATTAGCTCCCCCAATTTTCAATTGAAGTTCATTATCTAGTCTACGATTCCCAAATACCATAAATTTAGTTTTATCCAAATTCAGAGATGGTATATTACTATCACACCATTTCTTTATCTTCTCAAGTTCCCGTGAAACCCGTCTTATCTGCTTGGGGCAGATAAATACCTGCGTGCAACCTGTGCAAGTAATGGAAAGCGCTCTTTGCTGGAGCGCCAGTAGTCGAGTGGATTGCCGCTTCTGGCAATGGGTCGTTCATCTAGATAAGTGAACCAAGTGTTGGCACCGTACCTCCTCTTGATATTTTCGCAGAACAAATGTTGCATATATGCAACTTTAGTGTCCTCACCACACGCTAGAGTCAAAACGTGATGTTAGGCTGCAAGCTAAATGGATGACGGCTGTGCACATACTGTGACCCATTTCAGAGAGACAGGACTACCAGAGCTAACTGTTTCTATATATGAATCCTTATGTTAACTTGAAAGGTCTAAAAGGCGAAAAAATGTGTAACATTACTCACCCTGCTCTCAGTCAGAAACCACTGTCTGGTAATCGTATCCAAGTCGAAGCACAACTAAAGCCATAAAAACTATCCAATATGCCGCTTTCAAACTTTTCAACGCTCATTCCTACTTTGCTCTCTAATAAACATCATATGGGAAATAAATGACCTATTGTTAAACAATGGCCAAATTGGCCCGAAAGATCATGACAATATGCAAACAAAACCTGTTCACTGCAGTGCTTTTTCAAAGTGGTGCACCGTGGTCACATGCATCACTGAGCCAAAGTGTAAACAAAGGTTTGTATTAATAAAGTAAGTCTATTTTGTTAATATGAAATACAGGGTTCCTTATGGTTGTAGCTTATACATACATATCTACAGCTATAGGCCTATTCTTACACAATATTAAAAAAAAAATTTGTGAGAATATTTTCTATATATCCATTTTCAAATCAAAAACGTCCCCGCACCGAAAATCCAGCACAGTGCCGGAGAACTTCAAGCCCTACATTAATCTAAGCTATTCTCCATCCAGAACAGAGAGCTCTCTCTCTCTCTCTGAATCTGTGAAGGGTGGGGGCATCTCTCTCTCTCGCTTTCACACACACACATACACACAGCATAACTGTGCAGAACACACAGACAGTAACCATTATGAAGAAAACTAAACTGTAAAGTGTGGTTACACTTCACTAGAGTCGCTGCTGACAATGCTCACTGCCACAAGTGCAGCAAGTCTTTTGTAAGGGCAAAAACATGAGCAATCTGTCCAAACATCCAGCCAAAGTCTATCACATACAGGCAGAGAAATGCACAGCCACTGACTATCTGGCTCGTGGTTCCTCTCTCATCAGTGTTGCCCCAGATATGTTGTGAATGCTAAAAGCCTGGAGCCCGCATATGGAGTTAACTAAATTATATTAACATGGGTTAATGCTCAAAAGTAAACATAAGCCAGTGGAGTGTTATGTGTGTTCATAAATTCACTCCAAAATGGTCAAGGCATCATCTGAGCTGTCCTTCAGAAATTCACAGGTTCAGCTCCGGCCAGGGGTGGAGTCAGTGTTTTGGAGGCTGTAGCCAAACTAGCACACAGCAAAACTGTCAAATAAAAAGTCTGCATTCAGTTTTTTTTACAGAAAAGTAGAGAGTGAAAAAGAAGTATTATCACACAATGTACTTACATTTACTGGTGGAGTTTTTAATGCTCTAGTGATTTGTTCAAGACAATGCTGTTGTAGTTTGCTACTCAAAAATGTTAACAGCACATAAGAAATTTAAAAACAGAATTAACACTGCTTAATTTGTTCTCCTCTTGAAAAATAATAAAAAGAACCAAAAAGAGTACTGTTAAAATACCAGATAAATAAGCAGTATCAGTAAACATAGTATCCATCCATCCATCCATTTTCTTCCGCTTATCCGGGACCGGGTCGCGGGGGCAGCAGTCTAAGCAAAGATGCCCAGACCTCCCTCTCTCCAGACACTTCCTCCAGCTCCTCCGGGGGAA